GGCTGACATTGAAGCCGCTCTCTCACTGGTGCCAACTGCCCTGCTTTGGCCACATCTTCCCAGTAAAATCCCAAACCTGGATTTTTGTTTATGCTCCTGAAAAAGGCCACCCAACCGATGGGAATGGTCCCACTTCCAGTTTATGATTTACACCTCCTCAGGGCTTTTTCGTACCACCTATCAGCTTATTTATATTTATCTCTGGTTGGCTCTGCCTCTCATTCCCCAGTTATTCCAAATCATCTCCATATTCACTTCTCGCATCTCACTTCCACTCTCTTCAGGGAGCCAAGGAGGCCCTCTCTATACATGTATCTAAGACAGTATTCACCTCCTTTCCCAAGTATTCAGCCTCCTGTGTCGCTCCAGAGTCCCTCCAGGAGGCCCTGCTGAGGCCGTGCCATCCCTGAGCCCCAGCTATTTGCTCCTTCTTCTCTCTATGTCATGGTATCGCACATTATGTATTTCTCTCTCATGGCATTTAGCATTAGGAATTAAAGTTATCTCCCTGTTTGTCTCCTCCAATTAGTTTGACCCTATGCATGACATTTCTAACTATTGATATATAACATAACATCCAAGAAAAATAGAATGCACATATTGTAAATGTATAGCTCACAGAATTTTCACGAACTGAACATATACATGCAATCAGCACCCAGAGAAAGAAACGAAGGAGACTAGAACTCCAGAACCCTCCTGTGCTCTCTCACTCTCTCTGTCTCTCCCCAGGGGAAACTCTATCCAGTCTTTCAACAGCATAGATTAATTTCAGCTGTTTTTATACATTTAAAAAAATAGACCGAAAATAGTATGTACTCATTTGTGTCTGGCTTCTTTGATCAACATCACTTGTATAAGAACCATTCATGTCGTTGCACGCAGTCATAGACAGTCCATTTCCATTGCCATATGCTATTCCATTGTGTGAGTAGACCACAATTTACCGATCCACTCAAGTATGGTGATAAGCCCCATTTGGGGCTATTGGAAATAGCAGGGACTATGTTTTATTCATCTTCATATCTCCAGCATTTCACACGTACCGCCATAATGGTTTGTGTATAAACAGAAGGGAGAATGCAAGAAGTTCTTGTCCACTGTATTCTTTTTCTTTTTTTTTTTCTTTTTTTATCCTCACCCGAGGACATTTTTCCATTTTTTGTTCAGATAGAGCGGGAGGGAGAGAGAGGAAGAGAGAGAGAGAGAAACATCGATGTGAAGGGACACATCGAGTGGCTGCCACCCGCACGACCAACCAGGGCCGGGGACAAACTGCAACCGAGGTACATGCCCTTAGCGGGAACCGAACCCGGGTCTCTCTGTACCGCAGGCCGACGCTCCAACTGCTGAGCCAAACCGGCCAGGGCCACTGTATTCTTTTTCATTTGTATTTTCTTTATTGATTTGAAAGAGAGAGAGAGAGAGGAAGGGAGAGGGGGAGAGAAATAGCAACATCGATAAGAGAGAACATCGACTGGCTGCCTCCTGTATGCCCCCCATTGGGGATTTGGCCCACAACTTCGGCATATGCTCTGATCAGGAATGAAACCAACAACATCCTGGTGTACAGGTCAATGCTCAACCACTGAGCCACACCGGCTGGGCTTGTCCACTGTATTCTTGGATGGTCAGATAATACCTGAAATATTAGATTCAGTCCTGGGTACTGTGTTTAAAATGTTTAAAAGGGACCACTGGTAACTTGGATTGTCTAGAGAGGGTAGCCATGGCGGTGTGTCCGGAAGCCATCCAGAGTCAGGTATGTTGGAAGGCACCGAGGTGTTTACTATGGAAACAAAAACTGAGGGGATCAAACATGGACCAGGTTGCTTTTGAAGACAGCACTGGGCCAATGGCTAAATATTTGGGGGAGGCAGCTTTCTGCTCAACAGTAATCAATACTGGCTCATGTTTAGAGATTGCTTACCATACACCAGGCTCTGGCATGTGCTTAGGGCTTGGTATCCATTAGTCCAATAGGAGAATGACATTTTTAATGAGGAGACTTGAACATGAGCGGCCTAGTGAGACTATGATCACTTCCTGGCTGCAGACACGGGTGGTCATGTGTCCTAGGAAGTCACATGTAAAGGGTCATGGAAAAGCCCTCCTCTGACATGGCTCCCTGCCCTGCTCACCTCCTAACAGAACTGCCTTGTTTCCTGAGAGTGACCCCTGAAGTCACTGGGTCCCCCTACAGCAAGCAAATTATCAAGTGTTTCTGTCGGGAGCTTCCTTCTACTCTGGGTCCACCTGCCTGGCCAGGACCCTCTCCTCTCCTCCCCAGGCTGTCGTCCGGCATTGCTCTCTTCTTCCAGAAACTCAGAACTTCCACCTGAGTGGATGATGACTCTGGCTGTGGGGGGTAGTGGGCTGGCCACAGCAGGCCTGGCCCTTCAGGTAGCCAAGGGTCATTTGGGGTTATCCTAAACTTTGTTCATTTGAGACAAAAAGTGTGAGGCAGGAACAATGAAATTTAGAAAGTGCCTGGGGGATTGGGGAGAAACCTGGAGAAATTCTCCAGATGTATCTAACTAGTTTAGGCCTCAGAAAGAAGAAAAGCCCAGACAAATAAATCCAGAGTTGCTGAATGCAAAAGGAGTTTGTTAGGAGAAGCAAAATGCTGCTGGCCCCAGGACAAGACGCTTTATCTTGCCACTGGCCCCTCAGGCCAAGACCTGGCAGCGGCAGAACCACCAGAGAGCCAGCGTCTGACTTAGACAAGCAGGTGCTGTGACGTGCAGGGGCAGTGTCCCCTCTCTGCCCGCCCCCTCGCTTTCTCTGCTGCAGCCCCTGCCCGGAACCCCACTCTCCCCTCACCCTTGTTTCTTCTGAGTCATTAATTAATTAATTATTATTTTTTTCCCTTTATTGATTTTGGAGACAAAGGAAATGAGAGGGAGAGAGAGAGAGGAACATCGATGAGAGAGAACATCGACTGGCCTCCTCCTGCATGCCCCCCACTGGGGATCAGGCCCACAACCTGGGCATGTGTCCTGACCGGGAATCAACCTGGCAACCTTTTGGTGCATGGGCTGAAGCTCAACCACTGAGCCACACCGGCCGGACTATTTATTTTTTTGAAGGAGGCCAGAGGGAGTCCAAGATTTAGGAAACTGGACAATGTATGGAAGATCCTAGAAGCCTCGCTCTCCCCCACTCCCGCTGCCAATTTTCATGTCTTCTATTTCTTCTCTTCTGCCAGATAAAGCCAAACACACACTTACAGTGTTAACACAATAAATATCAGCAGTCCTGCCCTTTCTGTCTGGGCCCTGGAGTCACCCTGACTCCCAAGCTGCCACTTGCTCATACTTAAGGGGATTAGCACTTACCAGAAGCTGTAGGGCCCGGCCCTCAGGCTTGATGGGAATCAAAGTAGAGATTACCTTATTTGACTTTCAAAAATTCTGCTTGAAAGATAGAATCCTCCAGAGAAATACAGTGGGAGTTGTACATATACAGTTTTAAATTGGATTTTTAAATTAGTTTGCCAGCTGTTTGCTAGGTCATGCCTTAGGTTCTCGTCCTTTATTGATGTTGGGTCCATTTGGGAAACAAGGCCAAGAGGGGGCAGGAGGACTGCCAAGGCCGCAGGATCCTGGATGCCTGGGGACTTTCCCAGGAGCCCTGGCAGTTGTTGCCATGAGCCTTTGGAAACCCTTGGAGCCCTGGCACCAGGGCCTATTTTTCGCCCAGAGAAACTGACAGAGCTCAGACCACCGCCCCTAGACCCCACCTCCCCTCAGCCCTGCACTGCGTCTTCTAGGCCAAGGTCCAGGGGGAAAAAAAGAAGAAAGAAAAGAAAAGAAAAGAAAAGAAAAGAAAAGAAAAGAAAAGAAAAGAAAAGAAAAGAAAAGAAAAGAAGAAAAAAACTTTTTTAGCTGGAAGGGTCTTTCACACTTTTTGTGGCAAAGTAGTTACTTTAGCTCCTGTACCACCTTCAAGTGATGCATGCATACCTGCTCAGAATCTCACCTCCCTCCTCTCTTTCTGCCTAAAGGCTCTTTGTCTCTCATGTCTCAACCAGAATGTCATTTGCTCAGGGAAGCCTGAGGGGCAGCAGAGTGTGGAGCTTAAGGACATCAGTGCATGCCCCCGCCGGTTTGGCTCAACGGTTAGAGCGTTGGCCCTTGGACCAAAGAGTCGGGTGGTGCAGGAGGCAGCCAATTGATGTGCCTCTCTCTCCTCTTCCCACTCTATCTGAAAATATTTGAAAAAATATCCTTGGTTGAGGATTAAAGAAAAAAAGAACACCGGTGTGCCAGAATTAGAATCCTGGCTCAGCACTTCCTAGCTGTGTGACCTTGGGCTAGTCACTGAACCCATCCATGACTTAGTTTCCTTATCTGTAAAATGGGGGTAGTGATAGCTCTGACCTCGTTAAAGTTGTTGTGAGGATTCAGTGAATTAACATATGGTGTATAGAATATGTAAAGTGCTTAGAACATGGCCTGGCATGCAATAACCATCTGCTCTTACCCTTCTCTACAGCGTATCTCCCAGGCTCAGTTGTCTGCTGTCTCCCAGCCTCCTGTACTTCTGTGTGGCACCGACCTCCTTTATCTTTATTGCTTAATTTTCTGTCTTCACGAGGGCAGGAGCCATGTCTGTCTTGTTTTCCACTGTCCAATCCTTACGATCTAAACTGTGTTCAGCCCATGAGAGACTCAAGAAATGTTTTTGACTACAATAATAAATGAAATATTAAAAAGAAGAAATGTGCCCTGGCCAGTTTGGCTCAGCGGTTAGAGCGTCGGCCTGCGGCCCGGAGAGACCCGGGTTCGGTTCCCGCTAAGGGCACGTACTTCGGTTGCAGTTTGTCCCCGGCCCTGGTTGGTCGTGCGGGTGGCAGCCACTCGATGTGTCCCTTCACGTTGATGTTTCTCTCTCTCTCTCCCTTCCTCTCTCTCCCTCCCACTCTATCTGTACAAAAAATGGAAAAATATCCTCGGGTGAGGATAAAAAAAAATAAAAAATAAAAAGAAGAAATGCTAGCGCTCACTATGGCAGCACGTGTACTACAAATGGGAATGGTGCAGAGATGAACATGGCCCCTACGCAAGGATGACATGCAGATTCGCGAAGTGTTCCATATTTAAAAAGGAGGGAGAAGAAGAAGGAAGGGAGGAGTGGGGGAGGGGGAGGAGGATGGGGGGGGGATGCTAAAAGGCAAATGTGATCCAGAAGACAAAGAAACTTAAGGCTCTTGGGTCATTTTACTTCAAATATATTTCCTTCATATACTTGGCCTTTTCATTTTGTTTGTCTAACTGTTAAATAAAGAGAGAATTAATAAGTTTCAAATTCCGGGGTGCTGAAGATAAGGCTTTGTAATTATGTCTTTTGCAGGAGACTTCCGCCCCTCTCTAGTTTTTCAAAATCTAATTAAATATTAAATGCATTCCTAAAAATAGGTTATATGAGCAACACATTTAAAAATGAACACCTAACCACTTACAACCAGGTTAAAATCCACTCTGTTGAATCCCCCTTGTACATCTTTCCCCATCTCAGACCCCTCCAAATTTTTGTTGATATTTCTTTGCTTTTCATCCTATTTTTAACCCTAAAAATACCTATCCCTGAACATAGGCTGGTTTTGCATGCTTTTGAACTCTATGTAAAATAAATCATATAGTATGTATTCTTTGGTTTGCTTTCCTCACCACTGGTGATGTTTGTGGCATTTGTCTATGCTGTGGTGCGCACTGTGTCCTCTTCTACCGTGTGAATGCCCTGCTGTCTTCTTCTGCATTCCCTCGATGGCTGTGTGGTCGTTTGCAGTTTTTTGCTATTGCTGGCAGTGCTGCTGCGGGCATTCTTACATGTGACTATGAGGCCCATGGTCAAGATTTTCTCAGGAGTTTCTTCTGGATTCTAAGGTTTCTACATTTTCAACTTACCTAGACAATGCTACGTTGAACCTCTTCTGGTTCTTTTTTTTTTTTTTTATCCTCACCCGAGGACATTTTTCCATTTTTTTCCAGATAGAGTGGGAGGGAGAGAGAGGAAGAGAGAGAGAGAGAGAGAGAAACATCGACGTGAAAGGGACACATCGAGTGGCTGCCACCCGCACGACCAACCAGGGCCGGGGACAAGCTGCAACCGAGGTACGTGCCCTTAGCGGGAACCGAACCCGGGTCTCTCTGGACCACAGGCCGACGCTCTAACCGCTGAGCCAAACCAGCCAGGGCGAACCTCTTCTGGTGTTCTATCAAACCTGTCAGGAAGGGCCTTTGAGCTTGCACTGCAGTGGCCCCCACTTCTGGGCTCAAGAGGTGACGACATGCCCGGGCAACTTAAAAAATATCCCCTTGTGACTTAGGTGGGTTCCCTCCGGCTCACAAGCAGCACTCAGAGCCCCACAGACAGGAGCAAACTCTTAACCCAAAGCCCAGTAAAAACCAAACAAAGCCCAGCCATTGTGGCTCAGGGGTTGAGCATCAACCCATGCACCAAGAGGTCACCAGCTCAATTCCCGGTCAGGGCACATGCCCAGGTTGTGGGCCTCATCACCAGTGGGGGGCAGGCAGGAGGCGGCCAATCGATGTTCTTTGTCATCGGTGTTTCTATCTCTCTCTCCCTCTCACTTCCTCTCTCTCAAAAATCAATAAAAAATAAAATTAAAATATCCTTGGGTGAGGATTAATAACAACAACAACAAAACATTAATTTCCTTGTTATAGCATGCCTTTGAACTCATTGTTTTAAAATCCAAAGTGTCTTGCCCTGGCCTGTTTGGCTCAGCGGTTAGAGCGTTGGCCTGTGGGCCAGAGAGTCCCGGTTTCGGTTCCCACTAAGGGCATCTACCTCGGTTGTAGTTTGTCCCCACCCCGGTTGGGGTTGTGTGGGTGGCAGCCACTGATGTGTCTCTCTCACATTGATGTTTCTCTCTCTCTTCCTCCCGCTTTCTCTCCCACTCTATCTGAAGATAAATGCAAAACTGTCCTCAGGTGAGGATAAAAATAAAGATAATAATACAAAAAATAAAAATTAAAAAAATCCAGTGTCTTGATTGTAGCAGGCTTCTGACAAATGTTGACTTTAATTCTGGGTGTTTGCAGCCTCGGTCAGCAGGATTATTTAGGAATCTGTCTACCAATGCCAAAAATGTGAGTTCTTTTTTCTGTTTTCTCCACTCTCTTCAATGCCCCCCCCCCCCAGGGGATTTATCTGTATTGGGGGATAGGGGTTGGGTAACCGGGAGGTGATACCCACCAGGGTGCTGTCCATTCTGATTTTCCTGGGATCGTTTCTGGAGCTTTTTCTTTTCCTTGGAGCCGCTGCTCTTGCTACGAGCAGCCTCTTCACGTCCACTGCGGAGAGGCTCCTCCTCTGCAGAGAACTTCCTCTTTTTCTTGGGGACACTCCTGTTTCCTGCCTCTTCAGGGTCACTAACTGGTCCCTCTTTGGGGAAAGATTTCTTCCTCTTGGGAAGATTTCCGCCGCCAGTTGCCAGCTCCTCCTTGGGAAAAGATTTCTTTTTCTTGGGTTTGGATAAAGAGACAGGTGGGTCTCCCATTCCGTTCTTCCGAGGCCTCTCCTGGAGCTTTTGCTTTTGCTTCTTTTTGGGTTTTTCACTTGTCTCCTCACCCCTCTGGGGACCTGCTGCTGTTTCCGGAGCGAAGGCACCGTGCCGCCCTTTCTCCTTCTCCAAGGTTCCTGCTCCTGTTTCTCCAGCTTCCTCGCAATCTCGGCGGCCCTTCCTCTGCCCGAGCCGCTGCCTCCTTCAGGACCTCCAGCTTCTTTCGTGGGATCACTCCAGCCTCAGGAGGATAGCCAGTCCTCCACTTGTTCTCGAAGCTTCTCCCCAAACACACTGTGGGCACCTCAGAGAGGCAATCAACTCGAGAGGCAACACCGTATTTGTTTGCCAGGTACTGGGAGATGCCGCTTTGTTCTTGGCAGCTGCTCAGCCAATGAAGGTGGAGTGGAAAATGAGTCCAGCCCAGCCGGGGTGGCTCAGGGGGTGAGCGTTGACCCATGTACCAAGAGGTCGCCGGTTCGATTCCCCGTCAGGAAACATGCCCGATCCCCAGTGGGGGGCATGCAGGAGGCGGTCAATCCATGTTCTCTCTCATCGATGTTTCTCTCTCTCTCTCCCTCTCCCTTTCTCTCTCTCTAAAAATCAATAAAGAAAAAAAAATTGTTTTAAACCCAAAATGAATCCATATTTTGGGGTGTTACCTCTTGTCGTCAGGACTCTGGAAACTTGGTCCCTTTGCTGGGCCCTGGGAACCATTCAGACACCAGGACTGGCCATCTTCGATGGCTTTATGTTGCCATTATAATAACAACTTGGAAGAGAGATTTCACGGTGAAGGCTGACGAATCCCTCAGCCTTGTTGTGACTTCCTCCATGACGCCCTTACCTGTTTGGTCGCTGTCGGCTCATTAGCTGTCCTGGCTCAGCTTCTCTGTCTAGGAAGGAGCTCAAAGTTTGTTGGTCATTCATATCCTTTTGATTATTCAAGAACATGATCCTCTGGAAACTGAAATTGGGGTAGTTTGTAAGCAAAATCTGTTGTTAAAAGCAGTGAGTTATAGCCCTGGCCAGGTAGCTCCGTGGGTTAGAGCATCATCCCCATATGTCAGGGTTGTGGGTTTGATCCCCAGTCAGAGTACATACAAGAATCAACCAATGAATGCATAAATAAGTGGAACAACAAATCAGTGATTCTTTCTTTCTCTCTCTCCCTTACCTCTTTTCTCTAAAATAAAAAAATAAAAATAAAAAAAAGCAGTAAGATCTAGAAATAAGCCAGTATTGTGCAATGAACCTAGTTACAGCCAGCCCGGGCAGAGGCCACAGTCCCTCCCATTCACTTGCAGCCACAGACTCTTGCCAGTGCTTTTATGTTTCTCCTGCTCATTTCCTTATTGTGTTTGGGCCTTTTTCACCTCATGCCTGAACCACAGGAGACTGAAAGCTCTCCCTGCCTGAGTCTCCCCTCACTCTAACCCACCACGGTTGGATGAATCTTTAAAAAGTAGAAACCAAGAAACAGCAAGAACAAAAACCATACACAATAACTGTTTTCCCTGCGACACCTCTCTTTTTGGCCCCCAAACTCATTGGCTTCCACAGAATGAAATCCAGAACCTTCAGCCAAGGCATGCAATGCTCTCCCCGAACTCCTTTGACCTCTGTGGCGATCTCTGCAGAAGCCTGCACACACATACCTCATTTTCAGCAGTTTCAGAGCTCAGGGCCCCTGAAACCAGTCACAGACCAGGGTCTCAGAGTCCCCGCTCTGTGACATGGCCCTACTTTCTCATTCACTCTCCCCCCCACACACCTCCTCTCCAGTACCCTTCTCACACCAAGTTCATCAGAGGCAGCCAGCCTGTGTAATCCTCCACAGCTTTGCTTGAGGCTTCTCTCTGCCCAGAACCCACCACCCTTTCTGTCTCTCAGGTCCCATCCATCCATCAGGGCCCACCTCCTCCGAACCTTCCCAGACTCCCTTAGCCTTTGACCATTGTCCCCTCCTCTAGACTTCTGTCCTGACCCAGAATATATCATGTATTCCATGTAGACCATCCAACTGGATTGTAAGCCCCCAGAGGACAGGAATCATGACGTTTATGTAGGTCAGTACCTTCCGTGTCTTCTGTACAAATAGATGTTGCGTTTCCCGACATTATGGTGAATATAATAATGGAGGGAGTAAAAACAACTACAACAAACAAATAAAAGAATAATTTCCCCTTTCTCTATTTCAGATCAGGCTCTCCTCCCAACCTGCATCCCCAAATTCTGCCATAAAATATCTATTGGATCCTGTGCAAAATAAGGAAACAAAATTCTAGGGAAAAGAGAAGTTGCAAAAACAAACTAATATATTTATTTTAATGACTCAAATAGCCTAGGGAAGATAACAACTTGGACCTGAGACAAAAGGGAAGCAATCCAGGTACTTTTGAGTCTGAGCCAAGCCAAACCCTGGCTGGACAGCCAGAAAGGCGTCGGCTACTAAACCAAGTGTGCAGGACGAGCTAGCACTAGAGGAAAGCTGATTACAAAAGAAAAAAGTGCAAAGTTGAACCTCAGTGGTCATTTCTGACATACCAGTGGGTTAATGTTAGATAAACCCAA